AAGGGAAGGGAAAGGGAAGGGAAGGGAAGGGAAAGGGAAGGGAAGGGAAGGGAAGGGAAGGGAAGGGAAGGGAAGGGAAGGGAAGGGAAGGGAAGGGGGAGGGAAACACAAGGGCTGCGAGGCTGCGATAGGCACTCCTAGAGGGGCGTCCGAATGCCCCAAAGATCTATGGCCAGCAGCTCCGTCCTACAGGCAGGCACGTTCAGTGCCCGTTGGGTGAGCTCCGCTTTCTTGCCAGATGTTTTATGGCCATGCTTTCGCAAGAAAGCTTGCAGTTTGAGCACCGTCAGCTTTAGCAGCCTTACCTGCAATCGAAGCATTTTGGTGCACTGTGGCTTCATGACAGCGCGTTGTCTGGCCTCATCTGCAGCACATGGAACAGCCTGCAAATTGAAGGGTGCACTGTGGCTTCATGACAGTGGGTTGTCGAGTTTTCTGGCCTCCTCTGCAGCACGTGGAATAGGAACAGCCTGCAAATTGAAGGGTGCACTGTGGGAACCAAGCACGAGAGCCCGTTTTTCGAGTAATATAGCTTAAGAACTTCTTGCGGGCACCTCTGTATCTGGGATATCCCTATCCTAATCCTAGTTTTTGCGTAGGTGCTTTTTGGGGACCCTATTAAACTACTTGCACACATCCCCGAATATCCCGAACCACTCACTCCACGTGCACAGCAGCCCTCCTGCACGGGCAAACGGTTCCAGCTGGAACGTTGCAGGCACACCCAAAGTCGGCGACAACAAAACTTTTGGCTGCTGCGCAGTCCTCTGCCCTAAGGCGAGGTCTGAGAAAGGTTCGGCTCTGCAAGAGAAAACGGGCCGATTGCAGCAGGTGGGAGGTCCGCAGCGAAAAAAAATCCACCAAAAATGGCCATCCTCATTATTGCAAGATAGTCATGGCAGTCATTGCGTCGCCTGCCTGCCCATTTGAGGCGACCTTTGTGGCGATCTCGCCGCCTTATCGTGCATCTGCGAGGGCAGAGTGTGCCACATGGACAGCTGCACGAAAGGTGGGGGCAGTGCCAATCCGCCTATCAATCCAGTCGCGGAGTGAGACCTCCACATGCACATCGGTGCAGAGTCCGATGCCATCCACTTGCAGGCCTCTCTTTTCAAGAGCTCCGATTTGAGCTTCTGACAGACCTAGCATCCAAGCCAAGAAAAGGAAGTGGGAATGTGCCATTGACCCCCTACGGCAACTGAATAAAGATGCAAAAGAAGCGACCGCCTTGCCCTGCGCGATGGAGGACAACATCGGCCTTCAGCTCGCTGCTGTTTCTGCTAGGCTCTGCCCTCTGCTCTGCTCTTCTCCCTATTAGGCCGCTTTTTTGAGGAGCGGGCCCGTCGCCAGTGCCTCCGTTCTGGATGAAGCAGTCCAGGTGGTCGAAGAGCAGCTGAGCAGAGCTGAGCAGAGCAGAGCTGAGCACTGGAGGCGCTGCAGGCAGACCTGACGAAGCTCCAGCTCCTTGGGAAGAAGCTCCTGAGCGACAAGCAAAAGAGGTACAGAAACAGCTCAAAACTCTCGGCCCCAAGCACCCGACATCTGCGGGCAAGCTTTCGAAGAAGCCCTTCTTGCCGCCCTGCACGCCCTGCACGCCCTGCACGCCCTGCACGCCCTGCAGAGCACTGAACCCGAGAACGGCCCGAATCCCACACAAATACCCAATTGCAAATGCCAGCAGTAGCTCAAGGAAATCGAAATCTATGTTCGCCAGATTTCGCGAGTCGCCTCGTCTTTTCGAGCCTTCGGCCTTTCACGCTCCTGTTCACAACGGCGGGGGCGCCCAAGAGAAGGTGACAGCGAATCGAAAACTTGCGATGCCCTTCTTCTCCCTCCCGGGCTCCGCTGGCTTCGCAGGCTTCTGAGCTGGCCATGCCGGCGGCATGGGTCGCATCCTCAGCGGAAGATTGGTGGCAGACTAAGTCTTAGTCTATGGCCCCAGCTGTTGCCCGAGTCCAGCACCCAGCTGGCATCATGGGCATGGGTGCTGGATGCGGAGGATGCGGAGGATGCGGCAGAGGCACTGCAGGCCTCAGCCGAGAGCGTCGAATGCCTTGCGAGGGCAGCCTCGAAGCCATCTCGGGTCCATGCATCGGGAATCCTCGCCTGAGCAGCTCGACCTGCTGCCGTCTCCAGTCAGCGAAAGCCGGGAAAAGAGACACCCAACCGCGCCCTCTCAGCCACCGCAGGCCGACCAGCGGGGGCCAAATTGATGACCTAGGCCACAGCTATACTTTGGGAAAGAGCATCCAACAGCATATCAGATTGAGGCAGCAACCAGAGAGCCCCCACGACCCGGCTGCAGTGTCCTTGGTAACATGACGGCTTCAGATCACAGCAACCGATTAATGCACAAGAAACTCCAAAACCCTCTGTTCTTCTGTCTGAGCTCCTGTCAGCTCACCTCCTATCCGTCTCTCGATCCAGTCCTTCAGGCGCACGCCCTGAGCGGTCAGTCCTCTTCTGTATGGACAACGACAAAGCCAGGACCTAATCCCTAATCCGTTGAATACAAACTGAAGGGACACTGGCCCAAGTCTCCGGCCGTGCCATTCAACCTACAGCTCTTCAAGCATGATCCGGTCAGTGTGGAAACCACAAGGCACACTCAGATATGGACACGTAGCGCTGTGCCTATCAGAACCAGGGCGTGGAATGGCGTCGAAGGCAAACAAGGGTTTGTCTGAGCAGCCGCTGCCGATCATGCAGCACACGCAATCGCCCTGCCTCGAGAACGTGCGGATTGGTCTGCAAATGTTCCATCGTTGCCAGGTCCTGCTCAAGACATGATACCCGGAATCCAACCCGGGGCTCCTGAACTGTCCTTTGCGGTCCACCCTGCCAGAAAGTCCAAGATGGCAAACCGAAGCCTCAAGAACCAACACATCGGGAAAGTCGCAGGCGCAGACTCTGAGAGCTCTGCCTCTCCTCCTCTGGAGTGAAGCTGTCCTGGCTGCACGGCGGGCTGTGGGGCCCGGCAAGTGCCCTGATTTTCAAGAGAATCTGTCCTGCGGGAGGCTCTTGAAGAAGTCGTCCGGCCGCTTTCTGCCGTGGTCTTCCTGTCAGTCTGGACATCCGGACACGGTGGAGCCTGGACCTGAGATTCTTGCACCTTCTGGGACCGAGCAGGTCGCAGGATGACCTGTAAGCCAACAAAGAGCCAACGGAGACGACTTGCGGAGAGACTCTGAGTTCCCGGCAAGCCCAGCAGCGTCTGTGGCAAGATCCACTTCACCAGGCATCCGACTGAGTGCCCGCATCAAAGTGTCAAAGTGTTCCACAAGGTGGCATCAGAGCCACTGGCCACTCCACCCATTCCTGGAGCGAGACCACATTGCCAGGCCTCGCGGGCTCTTCAAGAACCGCCAGGAGCCGTCAGCCCAAGCCCCTTTCCCTTTGGCTCAGCTCTGAGGCCATGGCGGCAACAGTTCGGCTGCCTCTCAAAGCTCTCCCTGCCTCTCCCTCCCAGACACTATCAAGCTCTCTGCAGCTTCGCTGCTATTCGTGAAGCTCGAACAAGATGATCCCGGAGCTCTTCCTCTACATGGCATTTTGGCCAAGGCCGATGGTGCGGGAACAACTCGAATCTGCCGTTGTCCTCTGCCGCGGTCAAGCCGGCAGGTAGCCTGCGCTTGTATTTTCACAAGATGCATCACCTCAACCGCACCATGCCCCACGGCACTACATGTTGACCGTACCTGTCGAAGAAGGCCGCCGCCATTCCCCGGCCTCAGGATTCAGCTGCAGGCGAAACGGCGAACACAGCGGCTCGAGTCTTGAGATCCTGACTCCCGGTGGCGCACCCCTCCCCAGCCCCATCCTCTCTCCCGAACTGCAGCTTCATGTGGCACGGGAGGCATTGGCATCTTTTCAGTTGCAAAGCCGACACATGGCACGAGATTGCGCGACGCTGGCACAAGGTCTTTCTGGCCGTTAACGCGAGACGTTGCCACACTGGGTTGTGCGGCTCTGGACTTAGGAGAGCCAGAGGCACAGCGCCAATGCAGCTCGGGGCCGCGGTGTTAAAGACTTGGGGCGGCTCGGTGTTTGCTTCCTGCTCGACACTGCATGTGCAATGTTAGCTAGTACTAAGGGTTGTAGATCACTGCATCACAAGTCGCTTGCGGCGCCACGATCACGAGGCCAGAGCTCTGTACACACAGCTCGCGGACTTCTGCCGCGGTCTTAAGGCTTAAGGCCAGATCCGTCTGTTTGCGGTTGTTTCCATCCGGCGCCAACAACTACTCCCTTAAAGGGCTAGGCTGACCAGGATGAGCAGGCACAGTAACTTAGAGCAGTCCTGGAGCTCCGCAGGTGCAAAAGTACTGTAGACAATCCGGTCTTTCCGAACGTGCTCGTCCTGATCAGTCTTCGGATGGGTGGATCACTTCGGCGGTGATCGGCCCACTAGGCAATCCCGAAACCTGCCAACTCGCGCTTGCTTGCTTCAAAGTGCACTGAGATCTGCAGCCAAAGCTCGTTTTTTAACATTCTCCGTGTTCTTCTTCTTCTTCTCCTCCTGTGGTCTTGGGAAGGGGAATCGGATACGGGTTGTTCAAAAGCTCGGATTCGCTTTCTGGGCAAAGCACCGGTCCTTGGAAGTGGCGCCCTCACCCTCGAATTTCCGGTTCTTGGACCCCGTCTTGGCTTGCCGCTGGCCAGTCTTCTCCTTGAAAACGGGCGGTTTGTAGCGGGCGGCGGGCTCTTCCTTTCAAGCCCTGCCGAGCCTTTCTGGATTTGTTCTGCTCGCTCCGCTCCTCGTGGACTGCAGAGACGCTAAGCGGTTGCGAGTTGCTTCCGCCCCGCCTTCTTGGACATAATCTTGCACTTGTCACCTCTGCGGGTATGATTTCAGCTAGGGTGCATTCATGCAGCATTCATGCATCTTCACGGGATCTCGCTAGGGCCTAGCTCTTCGGCTTCCTTCCTCTTTCGCTCGATCTCCTCGGGCGACAGCTTCTTGCGGCCGTCGCCTGCACATGGCAACCGGCTGTTTCCAACTCCGCTGCGGCTCCGACTCCGAGGCCTGCAGAGTTTTCCACTTCGGCAAGCAGCGCTGCGAGCCTTTCCCTCATGGCCTGGACAGGACTCTTCCAGTTGGGCCAATGAGATTGGGCCTCTGTGCACCTTTTCCAGCTTGCCTTCTTGCCATATACTGGTAAACTAGAAACTACAGGTGCCAAGCAAGTCATGAAGCAGAGATCAAGAGTCTTTCCGCATCTTTCACCACGAAGCGGACAGGTCAGCCAGTGGTAGCCCGGCACACGCGCAGTGCGTCCGCGAGAGTATCATGTCGCTATACTGTATTGACCACCCATTATGCTGGCAAACGTCACTCTGCTGGTGAAGCTTCCAAACGGTTCAGCAATCGCCTTTGGCGACTGGTCATCGGAAGCTGCCTGTACAAATGTTGCAAACTGATGGGGAGCCAAGTAAGACCGAGATATGCCGAGTGGACGTGCAGCTTCTCAGAGAACAGATACCATGAATGTGACAGACGCCCACGGTTAAAACAGAGCCGTGTTGAGTCCGATTACTCTACTCACTCTTTGTTCACATCTCTGGCTCTTGGGATGAGGGCAGTCCTTAGCCCATCCGGATGCATGCGTAGAGAGGATGCTAGGACAGACACGAACTCCCTTCGAAGAAGGTGCCCTGTGACTCTCCATCTCCACTTTTGGAGGAAACTGCCACTACCCATGGCTGCAGCATCTGAGATGACAAACCAGCCAAGGTCAGGCCGAAAGTAGGGAACAAGAATAAGCTGGCTCAAGCATCTTGCCGAAATCTTTTGCGCTGCCAGATGTGCCGCTTACATGCGCAAATTAGACATTCCTGGGGATTGATCACCGTAGCAAACCGGCTGAGCGGAAGGCGACATGCAGTTTGTCCCACAGTTCACCTCCGCAGCCTCATGCGAGTCATAAGGCAGTCCGACGGCCTGGGAAAGGGGACAACACTCAACCCAAGGAAGAGAAGTGCTTGAGAACATCAGCAAACTCCAAAACAATTCTGTGCTTCGCAACTCATGAGCCTGATGCCACTCCTTGGGATTTTGCATCACCGGGACGACGGAGAGACGCCGACCAGGAGCAAAGCCGCGAAGCCCGACAGTTGCACGGGCACCGAAGAGCGGGGGCAAGGTGTCCTCGGCTCGAGAATCTGCGGGAACGGAGGCGAACAGGCTGGGTCTGGATGTCTGACTCTGAAACCTTCGGATCGAAGCTCTGAGAGGATCAGCATCGGGGGCGCGTTCAGGCTTCTTACGCCACCAACACAGATCAGGATCAAGACACCAACCTTGGCATCCGCCAAACACATCCAGACTCCCAGAAGGTTCCCTTCGGTTAGCTGCCAGGTGACGCCGTGGCTGAACCAGGCACCAGCTGCCAAGGTCCTGCAGCCAAGCAGCCTAGTGCACAGTGAAGGCTCCGTGGCTCTGACCGAGGCAGGGACCTGTCTGTTGCCCCCGGGGTCAGGCAGTACCTGGACAGCTCTGGGCTGAGACTCCATGCCAAAGGTCTCCGAGCGCTGCCAAGTGGCCCTAGAGCACAGTCCCACAGCTGCCAGACGCCGCGCCAGACAAGAACGCAGCACCACAAACCAGCATAGCCTTCACACATCTTCACGAATCTCGCATCACCGGAGCACTCTGGGCCTTGTTCTGCCTAGGAGCTGAAGCTGGCATCCGCCAGCCACGCGAATCGCCTGTGCCTCATCCTTGAGCATAAGGCCGCCAGCCACGGCTGTGAAAAGCCTGCTAAGGGGAAACCAGGGGACAAAGCGGGAGCTCCAGGCGAGATCTGCAGCCGCGTCACCTAAGACTGCGAAAAGCACCATGCCCCAGCCGAGGCCCAAGGCCGCGCTCGCCGCAGGCCTCTCCGCTTGTTTTGTGAGCAACGACGAGAGTGGAGCTACAGTATGCGCTGCACACCTCTCCGGCCACAGCTGCGCGTCTAGCGCCAGCCAGGCCCCGCGCCAGGCGCTGACCACCTGAGCAGCAGGAGCTTCCACTGGATACTCCCAGACTCGCAGTGCAAGGCACTGTCGATCCAAGGGACGGCAGCCATGATGAGCAATGCCAGGCCCCACTCAAGGTAAACTGAAGTGTGGCCTCAAAGCGAGCATCAAATCTCCGGGGAGCCCCCCTTCCTGAGAGCTGCAGAGGCCTGGCCTAGGCTCTGCCATAGATGGTAATTCTGCCACGTGTCCATGGCTTTGGCGTAAGCAGAAAAAACACGCGTGAACGGATAAGTTTTCTACACTGGCATCTGTGGCCGGCGGCTTGGTGAATCTCGTCTAGGCCAAATCACGCCTGCCCCTCTTGGTATCGTAGCTATACAAGACTGCATGATTCCTATGGCGAACCAGCTTGAGCCAATCGAAAGAAAACTGCGGGGGTGAGGACCATTCCACCGGAACAGGCTCCAACGTCTGAGCATAGTAAGAACTGAGACGCGATCCTCTGCTTCTGCATCATCCTCCTCCTCTTCGCTCTCCTCCTCGCCTCATGCTCGGAACCGCATCCGCATCCGTCGCAGCGTGTAGCAGCCATAGGACTGACGGCACTTGCCAAGCCGCTCTCTTCTTCTTCCGGAGCAGGCGGCGCCGCCGGAGGACCGATAGCATACCTCCGACGGCCCAGAGCAAGCTCACGCCAACACGGAAGAGGGAGCGGCACAAAGATACAACGAAGCGATGAGGGCAGGCATTGTGACAGCTGTCCACAGTTACCCATCTGACCATGATGGCTGTGATGCCTCTCGAGAGCCCCATCTTGCAGAATCCTGCACCCTTCCCGAAAGAGTCACGGTCGTTGCTGCGGAGCGAGAGTCCCTTTCGAGAATGAAAACCAGCTCGCCTATGCTCGCCAACACAACTGCAAGTAACACCGCTACTGATGCCATTGATTGCATTTGATTCTTAACACTACTTCTGCGTATTGCAGGCTGCGAATGTCGCAGACTGCCTCGGTCTAGGTATACTTTTTAGCACTACGACTTTCAAAGCTGATTAATACCCCTGTCGTAAAAGCATCAGGTGTCACGGAAACCAGCCCATCATGCTACAGAAGACAATATTCAGAAACAGAAACAGCAGTACATGCACAAAGGTGCAAAAACTCTGCCAACAACTACTGGCAGCATGACTTCCCTGATTGATACCAGTACATACCAGTACCAGCACCCAAAAGACAACGATTCACCGAAACGGCAAAATGGAGGAATGGTGAATGGTACAAACATCACCAAGCCTCTTGATGGTACAGTCATTCTCGTCGCATCCTTCCTGAGATGCGGACACAACAGCATGAGTAATGCGAAGCCGTAGGACACGGAAAGAAACGACAAACTAAGTGCTCAAAGATTCATAAGGATGCAAGCACTCTGGATCCAGCTGTAGAAGCTTCGCAAAGTTGGCATCTACCTGACAGCTGTCAGAGCTTCAGCGGTGTAGCACAGCAGCACGCTTCACTGAACATCAGCAAGGTTGCCCATTCAAAGGTTGGCATGATGCCCCAAGGCCTAGGCTTGATTGTGAGGCTTCTTCGACGCAAACATGGACTCGTCCTGCAGGCTGGGGGAGTGGCGCAGCTTTCTTCTTGAGATGCCTCTTCCACGTCGCCAGGACCTGGAAAACATGCAGCCAGGACTGGGCGAAACTCTCTCTCCGCAGATAACGTAGCAGCATGAACCCAGGCAGAGATCGGGTCCCCCGGCCGCATCAGCGATCCTCGAACTCGCTCGGCTTTCTCTCTCTCTACTTCCACTGTAATTCGGGGGCACGGGAACTTTGCGTCGGAATCTTTGGTGCCAAGAGTCTTCGACTGCAGTTGTGCAGGTATCTCTGCGCTGGGCACCTGCTTGCGACGCTGGCCACAGAGTCTGGGAACTCAGACCCCACGGGCCTCCACCGCCACTTCGGGCTCCAAGCTGTGGATGACGAGTTTCACCGGTATCTCGTAGACATCCTGAGTGGCTTATCACGCTTATCCACAAAGAGCAAAACGAGCCAGCCGTGTGATGGGGCGTCTATAGCTGAATGCCAAGAGGCGAAAGCTTTTGCTGCCGGCGGCTGCTGCCTTGGCGGAAAACCAGCGAAGCAAGACCCAAGCGGCGAAACGAATTGGGTAGTCAAAACGAGCGTCCGCAAAAAGTGGGACTCCCGAAAATCAAACGGACGGACGCGAAGTTTGGGCGCTGGGGGTTGAAAATTTGACACAGCGAGTCGGCAAATTGCATGCATGTTGGGGAAGTGGCTGCCAGCAAGGTGCCCATTTTGGACGGATCCTGCATTGGGTGTGTGTCTGTCCGTGTGTATGTCTGCGCGAGAGCGCGCACGCGCGCGCATGGGCCGCGTTTTTGATAAGAGTTGCACAGTTTGCCACAGCAAGTGCTTGAAGACAAAGCTTGGCTCCAGCATTCGGCCACAAGTTCTGTGGTTTCGCTGCCGCCTGTTTCGCTTACTGCCTTGGCCGGAGCATCCATTCCGAAACCACGCTTGAGAGTCAAGAAAGCACCCCTGAGTCGCAGACTGCGGAAACCAAACAAAAACTCTGACAACTCGCGGCAAGTTACGCTGCCAGGAGCGCCGAGACCGGGAACGGAAACGTCGCCACCTCTTTCTTAGCCTGAAAACATACCATGACTCTTCGAAGCCGCACAGAACCGACTCGGCTGAGACTGCCTTGCCAAGTTTCAATTCCTCCCATCGCTCTTTGGCGGCCTTCAGCTCCTCTCAAAGCCGTGAGGCTACTGCGCACCAAGGACCGACCCAGCCAAGGCCCAGACACTCTGCAAAACAGCAAGATCCATGTGGCCCGGGCCCCCAATAAACTGTGGAGCTGTTGACTTGGCTTATCTGGCTCAGGGCTCGGGGCTTCATGCACATTGGACATCACTCCGCGGAATGTAGAAGTATCGCGTGGCTCAGCATCAATGCTGCGAGAGGCATAACGGCATAACTGATGCGCAACTACAACTGATGAAAAAGCATCCCTCGTCGCCCGTAACAGTGGCAGACTTTACCCGAGACATGGTGAAAAATCATGAACACAGCAACTGCAATTCAACATGGTTCCGCAGGTAATCAGAGAGAGGCAAACCATCGGGCTGCAAACTGTTGTCTCGCTGCCACTAAACCGGTCCGACCAAAAACAGACGATCCGCGATCCATACCGCTTTACAAATCGCTACAGGGTGTGGATGTGCTCTATCTTCGGAAATCTTAGCAGGCCAATGTAGCAGGTAGCGTTACAGATATGATACGGGCATGGAGTCTTCGCGCCCGGAGCCAACTGCACCACGACTGTACTGGCCTCGAAGCATGCTTTCTTGCAATAAACATCTGATCAAAGCTCGAGATGAAAGGCCTGAACTTCATGCTTTGAGGCCGGTATGCACCTCGCACCCCATACTGAGCCGTCTTGGCTCAAGGAGGCAAGCAGCGTCGCCACGAGCTCCAAAAGCGCATCTTTCCAGCCCGGCGTTTGGACTTTGGACTGTGTTTCCTCCATATTCTCCATTGCCGGTAGGTTGAGGGTTTGAAGAGAGGCTGTGAGAGCAAACGCCGGTGAAACTGGTTCACCGACACTTAAGAGTTGCAAACTTCGCAGGCTAATTGACCTGCCAGCTGCAATAGGATTGGAACCATTTCCGCGCGACCGTAGTCGCTTTTGCACAAGACCTGACATCAAGGATCGCCGGCCTCTCAGCTAAGGGAACTGCGACGATGGAAGCTTGGAGGTGTGTCTCCATCTTCCTCCGTGACCATTGAGGAACCAGTAGCAGGATCCTTGATCCCAGGTGCTTTCTTTCCCGCTTCAAAGGTAAATGCTGCCGCAGAGCAGCGAGCATGTGGGTGTCCACAAGCACGGAAAATTTGGGACTGAGCCGTAGCTAGTATGTCTCCCAGAGGCTGTGTGAGTTGCATCGAGCTGAAGAAGCGGTATCAAGAGTCGTCCGGTACTAGTTGGCTGCAGACTCACACAGCCAGGGCAAGCCAAACGGATAAGAAGCTGCCTGTGTACCCTGCATACTTCTCCGAATCTACTTGCCAGATCAACGATTAGCAGCCACATCCTCATGCTTCCTCACGCAGCAACAGTGTCAGTTTCGTTCCGAGAGATTCCGAGGAAGCATTCCGAGGAAGGACGCGGAAATGTGGAGATGGAAGGTTGCAGGTCACAGCCACAGCACAACATTCGCTACCATCCGTCCACTGAGCCAGATCTGAAGTTGGATATCTAATGACCTGCACTGCATCGCCGTGCCTCTGGCACGATGAACATGCATCTAATGACGTGCCAAGCCTGAAAGGTCTGTTCCACATTGGCAGTCCGCAGTCGCTATTGCCGCGTCAATACACGGCACAACAACTCATCACCTCCACTCCTCAGAAAGAGCACGCTTGCAGAAGCTGCCCCTCCCTTTCTCAATCAAGTGTCTAAGAGACTGCGTCGCTCCTCAGCGGTGCAAGCCATCGGCGCGGCGCATTTCTCGCACAACCTCAGCGAGTTCGGCAGTGGCCAAATCTCCGGCGCAAGCGAGGCGAGTACATGCGAGTCTCCGAGAATCGCACGAAGCTCCCACAGTGGTGGTGAGCTAAGTCTGCCAGATCTGCTGGGTCTTTCCTGAGGCACCAGAGAGACCCTCTCATGAGACCCTCGGCAGACGCCGAGCACCGGGCCGAATGGCCTGCACCAGCTTCTGCCTCTCCGGTCACCGCTCGTGCGACCGTAGCATGCCGTAGCCCTACCGCTTAAGGGGCGTTTCTGGCGGGCCGTTGAGAAAGTCTTGCCTGTCTTCCGGCGCGCCGTGCTTCAGTGCACAGCGCACGACGTGACTGGCAACCTGGCAGGTGGCTGGGCAAGAAACTCAAGTGGTGGATGACGACAGCATGTCGAGGCGTCAAGGCACCCGGTGGCGTGCTAGGCGCTGGATATCGGCGTGAATGACATCCACCACCTGGCGCTTCTGGGAAGCCGTCCTCGGTCACTTCGCACAATGGCGCAGTAAACCCAAAATCCTTTCAGGGAATTGCTCCGAAAGAGAGCGGAGCCAAGAGCTCCCCAAAAGCAGAACTTCGTTAGATCGCACGAGCTAGCAGCCTCTTCCTGACCGAAGCGAGCAGCCCATGCTCGAGCACGTGCTGCACGACGAAGTTTCCGAAGGTGTGGCGGCAAAGCTGTGGAGCACCCGCAAGCACCTGCCAGGCCAAAGCTCAGCCTTTTCCTCAGCCACGGAGACATCGAGAGAGAAATCTCGAGCCTCCTCGACAAGTGGAGCTGTCTGCTCAGTAGGGCAATGCTCCAGGAGACGCTCGAGTACTCGGCAACCTGCGTTTCAGCACACCCTCGGCACCGTGTTGCTTTCAAAAGGATTGCCTAATCAAACCGAAACCGATCGCGAGCAAGGGAAGCACAGCAGAAATTCCTCTTCACTTAAGCGGGGCCAGGTTCGACCGAGCTCTGCACCATAGCGGTGACGTGCTGCAGCAACTGCGTGCCCGAGCATCTCGGACAGGACGAAGTGAAGGCGGTCTGGAGGAATGAGCTCGATGCATTTCCTGCGACGTCGCTCTTCACTGCTGGTGCGAACTGCATATGAAAAGCAAGAATGTGCCGGCTGCAGCCGAGTCTCTGAAGGACATGATTAGCGTGGGGTGATGCAAAAGCTTCCTTGACATGCCCCTGCAGCTGCTCTGCCAGAGAGATGCCTTGTAGCAATGGGGGACGCTGTGATGCTAAAGTCGCTAGAGCATAGTCCGCATGACTCAGCTCAACTGCTCCGCACACCACACTTTCACTACACCTCAACCCATTGCAGGCAAGCTTCGCTCCGTCGTGTCCTTGGAAACAGACGAAACGTCTCTGCAGCATTCTGGAGCATGGTAACGGGTCAAAGAAGGAGATATTTCCGCACATTTTATGCAGAGGCAGTACATGGCCCATGCAGGGTCTGTGGGAGGGGATTGTGCAGTTCCATACTGCGACTGCGAGGCTGCAGAGGCTTATGTTTTCCAAGTGGTTGTGTTTCCTCACTGCTACACTACATGACAAGTCAGTGTTATGAGCCGAAGCGCGGCAACCTCCAACGCCTTCTGGACGACACGAGTGCCGCCGGGAGTGCAGGCCATTGACCAAGTTGAACTCCACAGCAAGTCCATCACCTGCGGACGTGTCGAAACAACAAAGTCTGCATGTCTGCCAAACGTCTAAGATGTTCCACGAAGCATTTGGCTGTGCACCGAACCCAAGGCACCACACAGCTCCCACGGCAACATGCACTCAACGCCTCGGCTCTACTGGAATCTTCGTCCAGTTGAGCGATCATCTTCTCGCAAGCCTGTGATTCTGCATCCGGTACGAGCACTTCCTGAAGAGCACCAACAACCGTGAAACCATCTTTCAGGAATTGGCAGCATTCGGCGTCTGTCGTTACGTATGTGTTGGGTGGCTGGGGGGGTGTTTCTGCGACAGCTCGATCGGGTGCCCTCTGGTATTGTCTTTACTTGACGAGTTTTCCCTCAGGTCCTCCGTGAGCACGGATGACATCTCTGGCAAAGCCACCGGCTCCGGCAAGACCATGCTCGGGATCTCTACGTGCCAAATGCCTGTCCGGTACATTTGCCGCCATTTGCCGGTCGAAACTCGAGACTTAAGGCGGCCGTGACATGAGCCTGGGAAGGCACAAAAGCTTCCGAACTCTCGCGGCGAGCACGGTGGTGTGGACTCTGGCGTCGGTGGCCAGAGCTGACCAGGACCTTCAGAAGGACTCCGCGGCGTCGCCTGCACAGGCTGTCTCTAAAAATGAGCTCTCTGAGTCCTCTCCACACTCCACTCCGCTCCGCCTCAACCGTCTCCTCGGACGGAAGAGGCTCAGGGCCTTTAGCTGGGAGAGTCGGCACCTGCCGTTAGGCTTTCGCCTTGCCGGACCTCCGATCCCTCTGCCCTTGCGCAGCCAAAGCGGATCCCGCCTCGCCACCACGGGGCCCGCTAACAAGACCAGGAAGTGCTGGCGTCCTCTCTAGCCTCAGCTCGTCTGTCGAACCCCGAAACGTGCACCGAATAGGTCGCTGTCTGGAACCAAAAACTTTGCCATGTCATAAACCAGGTACTGTTCATCCGCAGCAGGGCTCGTTGCCGATTCCACGTTTGCTGCGTTCGCTGCTTTCAAACGGCGTCGCTGCTTCCGGCTGGCAGACGTGCGGATCGTGCGGCTGATGCCATTTCCTTGTTTGCACTGCTCTGTCCGACCTCTAAGGCTCTGAGGCTCAATCACTCCAGGGGTGCAGAGACTTCGGTAGAAAGTTTTGGGCATCGCAGAAGCCAAAAGATGCGACGGTGCCGCAAACACAGCCTGTCTCATCTCTCTTGCGACCCCCTGCCATGAGCTTCCTCCGACCTGAACCCTCATTGACTTTGCCCAAGGTTCGAGGTGATGTGGAGCCGTTCGAGGTCGCCTGGCTCCAGCGCTGCTCCGAAAGAAAAGCTAAAGCCGACCGGCCGACCCGTACATGCGCCTCATTCACCTGAGCTGGCTGCGCAACATTCGCTGCGTCGCCGGACGGCTGGGCTGCTCCTGTCTGCTGGGCCTGCCAGCAGAGGCCATTCCAAAAAGCAAATCAGTCTCGAAGGACTACTTCGTAGCGACACCCTCACAGGGCACAGACAGGCAGACGGACAGACCCTCCCCGAATAAGCATGCCTGCTGTGTGACATCCTGCGACGCAGCTACGCTTCCCACGGGAAAACCTGAGTCGGAGTATAATCAAACAAGATTGCGGCGGACAGCAGCGGAACTGGGAGGCCCTCCTGTGAAGCAGCCATCGCCGGTCATGAAAATTGCAGGCCATACCTCTCAGCAACGCCAAGGCTTCGGGAAGCACCAGGCCCGTGCTTTCAGCTCCGGCTTTAGCTCAGCTAAGGAGCACAGGCGCCAGGTGGAAAAACAGCACGGGCATCTAGTTGCCACATGCACTGGACACCTGTCCTCAGTCGGAGGGGCTGCTCGGTCGAGCAAGAGGCTTCCATGCAGCTTGGACACTCCGACGATTGTCCATCCTGCAATGCAAGAATGCAAGTGCCCTGGCTTCAGAATCGCACTGCGCTTCTGCCTGGCTGGAGACCGGCTGTTGCTCCTGCATGAATTCATCGGCCTTCCGCAACCAGTACAAGTCAACAGTCGCTTCACCCTAGCTGCAAGGAACCTTCGAGAAGGTGAGAGCCAAAACAAGACATGCCAATCCCTGCAAGCGGACGAAAAGTTGCTCTTGGGCATGCTGGCGTTGGTGTTCCCTTGTTGCCCAAGCACTGTACTGTATGCTCCACCAGCGACAGTGTTCGTGTAGACTGCAAGCGTAAACTGCCATCCAGGCTGCGCGCCTGCAAAGCCTGTGCTTGCACCTGCTCCTGGTTGGAACTGTGCGAATTACCTCATGAATCAGCTTCAAACGGGTCTGCGACCAGTCTTGCGCAAGTTCAGTAGCACTGTGACTGTGACTGTGCGAGTCTGTGCAGTACACATGAGCATCAAGTTGACTGCTCAGCCACCAGATCTCTGCGCCAGAACGTTTTCCACCGCCTCCAGCTTGGTGGAACACCATCCGCTGCACATTCCGCAGTCTGCAGACCAAGAACCCGACTACTGGCCACCGACCGCCCCAACTCGGCTGTGCCTCACACACAAATGCGGAAGGAACTCCTGTTGCAAATCACGGCTTCGTTTACTCGGCCAGTGCTCTGAGCTTGCTGCGAGGGCATGCATCTGCCTCGAAGACAGCTCGCCATGCATCCTTGGGGGACTCCCAAATGAGAAGAAGAGCTCACTGCAGCTCAGCACCGAGGACTCGACGGGGCATAGAGCTGCGGCTGCGGTTGATAAACAGCAGTGGCAGGAGCCTGCGCAAACGAAGCAGCGAGCATAGCGGCGGAGGTGGAGGTGCAGTGTGGTGCGGCCTCTAGCGAGACCCCATGGTCTGGCGTGCCGAGCTGCTCGAGCTCACGGCCACCTGCCAGAAGCAGCCGCCCGGCCGATTTCGAGACCTCAGAGGCAGAGCTAATGCGTCCCAAAACGCTCAAAGCGCCCTGCCGCCAAGGTACCGGTCGAAGCACTGGAAGGAGCATCATCGCGGCCAGGCCAGCTCGTGGAAATCCACGAAACCACCCAAACCCAACCACAGTGTCCTCTTGGTTGAACTTTCGCCTCTCGAAGCCCTGGCAAGCTGCCATCAAGAACTAATCGCACATGGGAACACATACTGTGCACTCCAACAGCTCATGCAGGGCTTTTGCCTTCTACTCTGCCTTTCCGCGGTGTCTACGGCCGATCGGTCAATGTCCTTTCTTTGACAAAACTTTGGCAGCTCTGGCAAACTCTCAAATTGGAACCAAATAGTGCAGTCAAGGAGCAGTCAAGATTGCGACAGGAGGATTCTAGCCACCCCTAAAGCCGAAATTCCAGAAATGCTCATGCATTCTACAACAAACTGTAAACAGTTGTCGCAAAAACAGTGACAATCGCACTTGCCCAAACGAGGATCGTTGCAAATTTGGAAAAAATTTAAGATTTGTCGTTCTCTGCAAAAACAGCTTGCGAACTGCAGAAACGTGAACCACTGTCTGCTGGCTGGAAGTGTCGAACAAAAGGACGCGAGACTTGCAGCTTCAACATCCGTCCGTGTTTGCCGCAACAACATGCTCAGCGGCCACGAATTGTGGTTGTGGAACATGCTCCAGTGTGCAATATGCGGGTTTCCGTCGCCAAGTTCGCAGTAGCATGCGTTTTTCCAGCACACGGATAGATGTACCGGTTTGCGACTATCCTAAGCCGTGATCGACGATCATTGACGGCGATTGATTTGTCCTGAACTTGTTGAGCATATGAACCGTCCGGATCAGTTGGGTCATTATCTCCTCGGGCAGTACAACACTTCCTCATCCCGTCACTTCTCTCGAGATCAACGTGTCGTTGCCAATGCCGATGCGCGACAGATCTTCTCCCCAACTTCCGTGTGCATCATATCGTTTGCCCGGTTTGCCCTGGCCGAATTGTTCCTCCATTGTTTCGCAAAACATATCGACATATCGAGCCATCTCACAGGTGCTTTCCACTGCCTATGCATGTAGCTGATGGTCATGTAGGCCATGTAGGAAGCTGGTGTGAGGAGCATCCTCTTGAGTTGCCCTCTGATATCTTCCGGACGAAAGGAATACAGAGAAACATGACGCACACCTGATCATACACGAACCATGGGCATGTACGAAATCTCAAAGCGGTGTCGCGATGAGTTCTTGGTTGCCCTCCAGGTTCAGTGCATCTGGCTTCCTGGGTACAAGGCGTTGTGCCGTTCCGAATCGTGGTGATCAAAGACTCTATCGTCTTATTCATGGAAGGCAAGTACGTCAGCCCGGCTTACGTTTGCATTGGAAATGGTGTCAGCTGCGGCATTCCTGAACAGATGCCAGTCGGAGGATGTTCTCTCCGTCACCAGATTGGGGAACGCTCGTAAAAGCGCAGCCGGCCTTCTATTCCTACAAGCAGAAACGGTGGGCAAAGGAAGCATGCAAACAGACCTTAGACTTTTCTTAGCTTGATGAACAGAAACGTCTCTGGATGCCGTTGGAAGGGAATCACATCAACAGGGACGCAAAACGCGATCTGACAAATTGCGTCAGACTTCGACCAGTGGGTCCGAAGAGACTTGGTGCGATTGACACAAGTTGCAATGTCAGCTTTCTCACTTTCTCAATGCACATGCAACCGAACAATCTCCGTGCATTGGCAGATGGGTATCAAAGCGAGTTAAGAGTGATGACAGCACATTGAGACGATTCCTAGTTGGCGCTGTTTCTTTGAAGAAAAGCTGTCAGTGGAGCGACCTTTGACTTGGTCACTGTGGAGCGACCTTTGACTTGGTCACTTAGGTCAGCAATGGCACACATGGGTGTTTCTCCACACACAGAATTTTACTGTCAGAACTCAAATGACGATCAGCAATGAAGATCTCTGCATCTTTCTTCGCTTGAGACTGTTTTCGCAGAAACGGAACGTACCAAACTCCGCTAAAGACTGCAAAGCACGTTTGCAAGGCGTCGTTGCACTGGAACTTTGACACTTTCTTCGAACTGTATCCGCTTTCCGGCTTCTCAGTCTGTCTACGAGACACCATTGCAGCAACATGCTGAGACGCTGACCGGAAACAGATTCACGGCACGGCGGAGGAACAAAAATTGACAAAAAAAACCGATGTCAAGCATAGAAACATGCTGCCGAAGGACTCTGGTGCAAAAAAATGTGCTCCTTTTTGGTGCTCCTTTTTTTGCAACTTCTCGTGCAAAATGTTGTGCTCTGATGCAAAATGTTGTGCTCTTGTTGTGCTCCTTTTTTTGCTTTCTGGTGCTAAATGTTGTGCTCTGCAAAATATTGTGCTCTTTTTGTGCTCTTTTTTTGCGGTTTCTGGTGGTAAATGTTGTGCTCTTTGTGCTCTCTGGAAATGTTGTGCTCTTCTGGTACAAAATGTGTTTGTGTTTCTGTTGTTTACAATTGAAAACAACAGCTAATGTCGGCTCTCGTGCAGGCTTGGGTTTCCACGTGCTCCGTTTTATGCTGCTTCTGCTGCGAAATGTTGTGCTTCTTTTTGTGTGTTTTTTTTGGCAACTTCTAGTGCAAAATGCTCACGGCTCGTCAGGAAAAAAAACTCTGAAGACAAGCCAAAAACCTGGGAAGGGAGGCTTCGAAGGCTTCGAAGCTGAAGGCGGGGCTCTCTCTTATATCTGGTTTTCCAAACTGCGTTATGTTACAGTGTAGTCTCTGTCTGTTTCGTTGATAGCGCAAGTTCTTCTTCCCCACTCCGGCCGGAACCCGCTCCAGAACGCGGCCCTGCAGCCCCAGGGATGGCTTTTAGAAGGCCCGCAAGTGCCCGCAAAGTCCATGCAAAATCTTTTGGGCCATAGTGCGGCCTGGCGGGGTCGGAGTTTGCAAGCTTGA